CTGAGATTTTACTGCCTATTTTCTTCTAGGATTTTTATGGATTTGTCTTACATTTAAGTCTTTAATCCCTATTTTTATTCTTGTGTATGGTGTAAGAAGGTTGTCTAGTTTCATTTTTTTTTGCACGTATCTGTCCAATTTTCCCAACACGATTTACTGAGTAGACTATCTTAACCCCGCTGTACAATTTTCCCTCACCTCCTTTGTCAAATATTAACTATAAAGGCATTGGTTTATTTGGGGACTCTCTTCTGTTCCATTGTTCTATGTCTTTTCTTATGCCAGTACCATGCTGTTTTGATTATTATGGTCTTGTAGTATAGTGATCTCTCCAACTTTGTTCTTTCTCAAGATTGCTGTGGCTAATGGGACCTCTTGTGGTTCCACATAAATTTCTGGAACATTTGTTCTAGTTCTGTGAAATATGCCATTGGTGTCTTGACAGGAATTGTGTTGAATCTATAGATTGCTTTGTGCAGTAGAGACATTTTAATGGTTTTAATTCTTCCTATTCATGAGCATGGTATGCACCTCCATTTATTCATATCTTCTTCAATGTCTTATAATTTTCTGAGTACAGGTCTTCTACATCCTTGGTTAAATTTATTCCTAGATTGTTGTTTTCTAAGCATTTGTGAATAGGATTGTTTTCTGAGTTTCCCTTTCTGAGAGTTCATTATTGGTGTATAAAAATGGAACTGATTTCTGGATATTTACTTTGTATCCAGATACTTTACTGAACTCATTTATCAGTTCTAGTAGTTTTTTTGGTGGTATCATGTCATCTGCAAATAATGAGTTTTACTTCTGCCTGTTCAATTTGGATGCCTTTTCTCTTCTTGTCTGATTGCTGTGGCTAGGACTTTGTTGAGTAAGAGTTGTAAAAGTGGACATCCCTGTCTTGTCCTGAATCTAAAGTGAAATGCTTGTAGTTTTTGCCCATTAAGTGTGATTCTGGCTGTGGGTTTGTCATATATGGCCTTTATTACATTGAGGTATGTTCCCTTTATTCCCATTTTGCCGAGTTTTTATCATAAATGGGTGCTGGGCTTTATCAAAAGCTTTTTCTGCATCTATTGACACACTCATGTGGTTTTCATTTTATGTGGTATATCACGTTTTTAGATCTGCAGATATTATACCAACCTTGCATCCCCAGAGTAAAACCCACTTGATCATGGTGTATGATCTTTTTAATGTATTACTAGATCCAGTTTGCTAATATTTTGTTGAGGATTTTAGCATGTATGTTCATTGGGGACATTGGCCTATCATTTTCTTTCTTTGTAGTGTATCTGGTTTTGGAATTAGGATAATTCTGGCCTCTTAAAATGAGTTTGGGAGTCTTCTCTCTTCTTGAATTTTTTGGAATAGTTTGAGGATAGGTGTTAGTTCATCTTTGAATGTTACCTATGAAGCCATCTGGTCCAGGATTTTTGTTTGTTGGGAGTTTTATTACTGCTTCAGTTTCACTAGCTGTAGGATAATCTTTTCAATAACTAAAGTTCAATACTAAACTGGATAGCCATATGGGGGGGAAAAATGAAACTTGACCTCTATCTCACATTATACACAAAAACCATTTTCAAGTGGATTGTAGATCTAACCATGTAATCCAAAACTATAAATAAAACTTTTAGAATACGCAAGAAAATTTTCATAATCTTATAGTAGGGAATGAGTACTTAAATAAGAAACAAAAAAATGTTAGCCGGGGGAAAGATCTTAATTGGACTACATTAAAATTACAAACTTCCATGAAGTGTGAAACCATAAGCTACAAAATGGGAGAGTGTGCATGCAACACATGTAATTGACAAAGAATTTGTATGCTGAACATATGAAGAAATGAAATCATTAAGAAAAAAACAGAGAAGTAAGCAAAAGACTAGAACAGGCATAGCATAAGACACTCAACCTCATTTAAACTTAGGTAACTACACAGAGATGTTACACACCAACAACTTGGCGAAAAATAAGACTGACAACATCTCATATAGGCAAAAATTTGGAATACTAGAAACATGGAAAACTGTAAACAATCCAAATATCCATTAGCAATAGAATGAATAAATAGTTGATGATATGTTCTTAACCGGCATCCTAGGTAGTAATCAAAATCAACGAATTTGATACATGGAATAGTGTGAATATAAAGAAAAGGGAACACAAAAATACATACAGCATAATTTAATTATATAAAGTTTAAAAACACTCAAAACTAAACTATATAATTTAATGATGCATAAACAGCTAAGAAAACTAAAGAAAACCAAGGAAAGTATTACAAAAATAAATTTTGTGATTACTTCTGGGGGAAGGGCGTAGGTTGTGGTTGGGAAGGGGTACATGTACGGGAAGGCTTCTGAGGGTCTGGAAATGATCTTCAATTAAATTGTGGTTAAACAGGTGCTAACTTTACAATGGCTTATTAAACCGTATATATTTTGTGTTTGTTTTTTTAACCCTCACCTGAGGATATTTTTTCCATTGCTTTTCAGAGAGAATGGAAGGTGGGGGAAAGAAATGTCGATATGAGAAACATATCAATTGGTTGCCTCCCGCACACACCCCGACCAGGGTAGGAATCGAGCCTGCAACTGAGGTACGTGCCCTTGGATGGAATCAAACTCGGATCCCTTCAGTCCATGAGCTGACACTCTAACGACTGAGCCAAACTGGCCAGGGCTGAACTGTATATATTTTGTGTGTTTATATTTACCTCAACATTCATACACACCACACACATACACAAAGCATAAAGTGACCTTTCATATCAAAATTTTAGCTGTTATAAATTCCTCTCCACCCATTTCTACACTTTGCAAATTTTCATTGATAAGCAGATATTACTTTTAATAATGGGACCAAATACCTTCTCCCAATAGCATCATGAACACTGTAGAAAAATTATGACAATTTATGTCTATTAAATGCCTTTCTGTGCAACACAATATACTATACTCTTCACATATATTAACACATTTAAGATAAAAAACAACTCTTAAAAGTAGTTATTATCAGCCTCTTTACAGAGGCAATTGCCAACGTTCACATAGTTATAAATGTCAGAATTAGTCTGCCCAAATCTGAACTGGACTTTTCCCACCTGTCTACACAAATCCAATAGCTGATAAAGCTAGTTTACTATCCATCTATTCACCTTCCTCTTACAATACTCTACGGCATTTTCCTCATCTGACATTTAATTAGTTCATTTATTTATCCAACATTCATGCACTTATCCAATGTATATTAATTTAGTATCTACTGTATTCCAGGTACTGCTCTATATACAGGACATACAAAGGTAAAAAGGAATGACAAAGTCTAAGCTTGCAATTTGGTGGGGGAGACAGACAATAAACAAAAAATGTCAAGCAGCGATCAGTTCTATAAGAAAACAGAATAAAGTGATAGTGTGACTGGGGGAAGTAGAAACATCCTGGCCGAGAGCTGAGTGCTAAATCAGCCATGCATCTACTGGAAGGGGTTCCCTGCAGAAGTCGTAAACATCAAAGCCCGGAAGGGGATAAGCCTTGGCTCACTCAATAAATAGCAAAAAGGCTACTCTGCCTACAGTACAGTGAGTAAAAAGAACAGAGGGTGTCACGCTGGGGCAGGTCAGTCAGAGAAAAGAATTTAGATTCCATTCTTGATGCACTGAGAAGGCTTATAATTACACATTCCCATGGAGAAAACAGACATTAATAGATAAACAAATAAAAATATCCTAGAATGTCAGATAATAAGTGTTGTGATAAAAAATAAAAGAGTGACATGCCCGGGCAGCATGGCTCAGTGGTTGGGTATCAACCCATGAACCAGGTCTCAGTTGATTCCCAGTCAGAGCACATGCCTTGGGCTCGATTCCCAGTAGGGGGCGTGCAGGAGGCAGCCTATTGATTCTCTCTCATCACTGATGTTTCTATCTCTCCGTCTCCCTCTCCCTTCCTCTCTCTGAAATCAATAAAATCATATTTAAAAATAAATAATAAAAGACTGACAGAGGTGGCATAATATTTTAGATAAGTCAGGGACTTTGCATAGGAGGTAACATTTAAGTAAAGATGTAGATGTAGGATGAAGCAGAAGCTGCATAAATATTACGGAGTAAAGGACTCTAGGTAAAGGGAACAGTGAATGAAAAGACCTGAGGGGAGAATGAGCTTAGGTTGTGAGCAGAACAGCAGAGCCAGTGTGGCAGATGAAGTCCAAGAGGTGACTGAAGGACAAATCCCATAAAGCCACGTAGATCATAAATTTTTGAATTTTGTTTGCAGTGTGATGAAAAGCCATGAGAGTTGAAAGCAGGGGAGGAATACATGATTCACAGTTTAGAAGGGTCATTCTGAATGCTTTTCTGAACTGTTGAAGGATAGTAATGTGAAGAGGTAACAGGGCCTTCAGCTAGAGTGGTACTGGCAGAGATGTGAAGTGGGATGTAGCCTGGATATATCAGTTGAATTGAAAAGGATTTGCTGAATTTAACATAGAATATGAGTATCATGTCAGGGATGATTTCTTTTGGCTTAGGCAACTGAAAAGCTGTGTGTAACATTTATTGGGATGGGGGAAATTAGAGAGGAACAGGGTGCAATAGAGGCATCGGAAGTTGTTTTGGGTCTTGAGATCACTCTTAGTCTAGGGAAAATGCTAGGTAGGCTGTAGCTACAAAAGTCTAGAGCTCAGGGGTGAGGTCAAAGCCAGAGATGATTTGTTTTTGGAGTTACTGATGGCTGGCTGACAATCTTCAAGAACAAAATGTCTTCATATTTAAGAATTTAAATACGAACTGATAGGTGGCTAAATTCTTAGAAGCCACCTATTGGTTCGAATTTATTCCTCCCATGGTATACAGCAGCAGCACAATTTACCAGTATATATACCCTAATATATGATAAACTTTAACAATAACATTTCATATGTCCTTGGCTTCAGACCAAAATGATTGATTTTATAAATTAATTACCAAGAATACAGGGTCCCAACCTAATACATTCAAGTTAATGCAAAGTTTATTAGAACAAAGTCTTAGTAAATCTCATAGGTAAGAGAACCAAGAATCAGATCTGTTTCCATCACAGCTTCCTTATTCCGCCTCCTTTTTTATTCCTTACCACCTAGAAGCTTGGGCACCAATAAGTTCACAGAGTTAGCTATTCATTTTTAAAATAGAATTTATTTCTGTAATAAAGAATTAAAATATGGCTGTGAAAGTAGAGAATATAGAAAAAAATCTTTAAAATGTGCAACAGTAATTTTAAAGGTAGTTAAGCACTACAGTCCATGCTCAACTTCTACTTGAAAGACCAACTAGTATTTTATATTAATATTTTATTAACTACAGTGGAAAAAACATACCAACATGCAATTTCAATTAATAATTATAATTCAATAACGGATTTAGATACCTGGTCAGGCCCTTTTGAAAATGAGTACAAATCTTGGGGATATATTTTTTTGAAGATGACTTCACTTACAGACTGATAAATCTACTGTCTAAAAGTCACAAGGATTTTTTTTTTTTTACCAATTCACCCACTTACTTAAATCAATGTGGAAGCAATATGTACTTTTTGGATAAAACCAAATGTTTTGGTAAAAATGGGACAACAACATCATCTTTCATTATAGTAGCACAAAAGCTGGCAAACTCATATATCCCCAAAGCTTGGTTCTCACAAGGTGGGTCTCAAATTAAGGCACTAAACACAGATGAAAAAATACCTAATGAATTCTATGGATCCCTTCCCCCAAGTTTTATTTATAATTAAAATATAGGTGTTATTTTTATGCAGAACATACAAAAAAATTGAAAAATGTTTGACTAGAAGGAAGACGACTCTTCAGGGACTATTGTTTGAAGTTTGCAGATTAGGATAATCTTCTCTAGGAAGATTAATGTCAACATAGCAGCACTATATTCACCAGGAACCCCAAAGCCAATGGATCTATCATGTGGGAGGAAGCCAAACCTTCTGGCTGCTCACAACATCACTCAGCTTCCCTTTAATCTTCAGGAAGTGTCTCTTGAATTCCAATCCATCACCCTATATTAGGAATAATATCCAAAAATAATGTCAAAAATAAAATCAAAATCTCTGTAGTGATATGCAGATAAAAACATTTACAGCTATGTCCAGCTACAATTCCCTTCAGGTCCTCTTACAAAGACCAATTAATTGTCTTGGGAGCAGAAATGGCTAAAATAAGTAATTCTGAATGATTTTGGGCCGATTACTGTTCCAACCACACTGGACTCAGAGAGCAAATACAATGACATTCTGTCTGTTTTAAGCATCGATATGTCTAGACTGAAGTCATTGTTTTCCATAGGTACTGGAGGTTTGTAAACTAAAAATAAGCTACACGACACTGAAGCCTTGCCAAAATACTGTGACAACAAAGCCAGTGATTCAGTTATAAGAAAAATTTTATTACACTAGGATATTAATAATATAATTCCATAATAAGCATCTGGACAACAGTATTGCAGCAAACCTCCAATATAAAGAATGTGAATTCCTCCTCCAACCCCCTTTAGAACTATTACAGTCTCTCAGGAAAGAGAGAAGATGTCATTTTTGACTTTTATGTCAAGGGCTTTAAAACTATATATAACCTCAGCACCAATAATTTCTAAAGAAATAATCAGAAATGTGAACAAAACTCTATGTATATGAACATTAATCATAGAATTATTAACAGATAAAAGTTCATTAATTATAATGTGGAAACATTTTGACAAATCATAATTTTTATTAAGAAAGTACATATAAATTCAATAAGAAAAAGTTTGGAATGTTTAAAAATTATTAAGGGTAATTAAAGGTAATTATTTTAAGGGTAAAAACAATTTAGGATTATTTTTATTTTCTTATTTGTTACATACTATTAATAGTAGTAAGGCTACTATAATGAAAAATATAAAAAATAAATCTGTGTTCTCTCTGATAAGGTTAAACTTGATTATTTTCTTCTTTAAACTTTTTTATATTTTTAAAATTTCTACAATAAACATGCAAAACAAAGTTTTATGTGTTTTTTTAAATGTGCCTTTCTACATACCTTAGAAAGCCGGAAGTCAACCAAGATCTTCTCATCCATTTCTACCAAATTAACTTTGAAAATCAGTTTATTGTTTCTTCTATCAGTTGTTGATACAGTAACCTAAGGCAATAAAAATAAGGTTAAGCCAGATGCAAGGGTAAACAATACTCTAAATATAACTACAATCTCAGGTTAGTGATACAACTGGGATAAAGCTAAGCGGTGCACTTCTATAATAAAAGCAATGCCAATCAACAGTCTCACTCCTTCCAGGGATTTTCCTCTCCCCGTGGGAGTATGTGCTTCACTAAGACCAAAGGTAACCAGGATGCAGCTCCATTACCAGGGCAGGAGTCTATATGAACTCTCAGCAACAAAATAAAGTAGTATTTTACCTAAAACAATTGAAAGAAGAAACAAGCGAAGAGAATAAAAAACAGAATGAGAGAAAAAGCAAGATAAAACGTAAGAAAGAAAGAGAGTTGAGATTTGTGGCTGGAAAGCTACCACAGCAATCAGAAGATGGTAATGGTCACGAGAGTCCTTGCATCTTTCACTTTCAGTGTTTTTAGAATATTCCTATGATCTGTAAAGAAGCAATAAGGAAAGCAAGGGCCAGCCAACAGCCAGCACCAAGACACCAAACATGGAGGACATCTTAAACCAGTGGCTATAGTAAAGCCATCAAAAGACTACAGTTAGATGGAGGAGCCCAAGCAAGATCAGCTGATTGTCCAGCTAAGCCCAGCTCGAATTACAAAACATCTGTAATAATTTCCACTTCAAGGAATGAGTATAGCCTGGCCTGCGTGGCTCAGCGATTGAGCATCGACCTATGATCCAGAAGACTGAGGTTCGATTCCCAGTCAGGGCACATGCTCGGGTTGAGGGCTTGATCCCTAGCAGGGGGCGTGCAGGAGGCAGCTTATCAGTGATTCTCCCTCATCATTGATGTTTCCATTTCTCTCTCCCTTTCCATTTCTCTCTCTGTAATCAATAAAACATATTTTAAAAAAAGAAAAAAAAAAGAAATGGCTATAAAAAATACATTGGGACAACACATTATATCCTGGGAAAATACAAGACACGCAATACATCTGAATTAGGTATTACGCTTCAAAGACAAAGAAAATTCTTGAAGGATTCAGACAGAAAGAGTGAAATGAGGAGTGATGTCCGTGAAAATGGTGGAGTAGGGAACTCTGAAAGCCCACTAACTCCACAAAAGCAATGAAAAACTGGCAAAAATTGTCAGAATCAACTTTTTTAAAACACTGGAAACTAAAAGCTCGCAGTAACACAGAAGCACTCACACAAAACAGGTGAGACTCCGAACAGTGAGGCTTCTCAAATTGTAACTTATCTCATCCCCACGCCCACTCCTCAGCTCAGCAGCAGCCTTGGAAACAACAGTCTGCATCCCAGGTACAGTGCAAGTGGCAGCAGAAGAAACTTCATTCACACACTGTCTTAAGCTGAGCTGGCTCCTTGGAAGCCCTGCTTAGAACACTTCCCTCTGTTTTGCCTGACTGGGTAGACAGAACTCGTCCTGTGCCAAAGCTGCCACCAGGGGGACATTTGTCAAACGTATTTACAAGCAAATGCTTTAGCCTCCATTTACTGAGGCAATATAACTTAGGGAAGTCTTTTAAGAAATATTATTTTTTTAAGGTAAAGAACGTTTTACTTAAATTCCTTCCATTTCAAAGGTTTCTTTTTCAAACTAAGCTACTTACCTTATATTTTAAAATATACTGATGAGAGTTTTTTACTCAAATACTTAAATTTTCCTTTAGGAAAAGATATAATGAAAATAACGAAATATACCTGATTCATACAACTCTTCTTCCATTGATAGCCCAATTTCTCACAAGTCTCTTTCAGGCATTGGTAAGATTTGTCTGCATCCAATTTGGTAAAAAATCGTGTCATTCTTTTGACCAAGCGCTGCCAGGGGTTCTACATGCCAAATAAAGAAAAGAAGAATAAATCTGATAGCACCAAAAGCAGTCATATAGGTTTTGAGTCTGAAAATTCTTTCCTGTTACTTAAGATTCTTATCCATAAAGGTCTCCTCTAATTATATCTTCCTTGTAAAAAAAAATTTTGTATAAAGTATTAATACTTTAAGATTTAAACATTTTTAAAAAAGACTCTAAGACAATAAAAAAATAGATGGCTCCCATTATTTATTTGAAAAATTAAATTCTCTTACCTGTGAGGATCCTGGGGTGCCAAGTAATTGACTATTCAGAAGCATATGATCTGGACATGTGGGCTGCGAAAAACTGATCCCTTGTACCAGTTTATCAATGTATGAAGGGCTGGTGTCCCATAAGGAAAGACCTGTCCGTGGTTCTGGCTGGGAACTGGAGTACTTCACATTTTCTTCACTGAGGCATTAAGATATGGGGAAAAATATATCTTTAAATAAAATCTTTCAGACCTTTTTTATATCACATTATCATACACCAATAAAAGTGACGATCATTAAGATAAAATACAAACATGTATTACTTTCCGTGGTGAATATTACCTTCAACAACTACTTGATTTTTATTAATTAATCTTACCTAGAAGCACTGTTTACTGGAGAGAAGTCCAAACTGGATTGAATGTGCTTAGAAAATCCACCAGGAGACTCCGAAACACCACCTGAAGTGACTCGGGGCCTCTTTGCTCCTAAAAAAAATAAATTAATTAAATAAATACAAATGCTTTCACGTCTTCTATGCAGATACTTTTTAATTAACACAACTGGCAACCTGAAGAAGTAAAAATACGTCTGAATTCATTTAATACAAAATACTTATATGACAAACAGTGGCACCTTCCACATGATTTTATGAGAAATGTGGTTGTTATGAACTTACTAGGATTCACTTGTCAAATTACACAAATTCTGATCAGTAAGTATGTTCCAAATGTGGAGTACAAGGCCATAACTTTAATAGTACCATTTATGGCAATAGAAAAATGTTCTATGAAGACAGAAAGACCTAGCTAAAGAATCGAAACTTTTTAAAACAAAAAATAATTTATGATAATAGCAATGAACATGATCAATCTGTGCTACCCAACATTCCTTGCTCCACTGGAGAAGCTTTAACAAGAATAATCATTATACAGAAAACGATGCCACTATAAATTCAGGGTTACTACCCTCAGCTGGATCTTCAACACTGACAGTCAGCCCTGTTTCTCTAGTCAGTTTCCTCTCCCTTCCTCCACAATGATTGTTTAAAAACTTCTGAACTCTTATCAGATTCTCAAACTACCCTCCAGCACCTCACTTCTTAGCATGTGATACCTTCTCCCATTTCACTTATAGTACCCTGACTTGCAATTTTATAATTATCAATAAACTTAAAATTATTATTTCATTTTTCCTGCCACACATTATAATCTCCACGACAGCTGAGACCACAGCTATCTTGTGCTGTTGACTTATGATACTGACTTTGCAAGTTCTTTACTTTCACAGAAAAAAAATACTTGTATTTTAAGGATAGTACCTTTCTTAAGTGGTTTGTTGTACCATCTATCTTTTTTGATGTCTGGGATGGTAATCCTTACTGACGGATTCTCAACTAGAATTTTATGCAGCAGAGCTGAAAACAAAACATTAAGACAACATTTATAAAAGAGTCATGCAGATTAGAAAAGCCTATAACATGTGGTATGAACACATTCTCTCTTGACCTCCTCATGTCCAAGTATTATTTCTGGGGAAGAGAAAGAATAAATTAGTAAAGCGACTATATTATTGCTTTAATTTCATGCAGCTGTTATTTGCTACTGTCTGTATCTTAGAATATTCTGCCCAGATCTGGTTCTCAATTATTTGCAAATAGTAGCATATCAGCTAGGTAGAAATGTTTCTCCCCATTAACAAAAAGATACAAAAAACTCACCCATTTTCAATACCAAATTTGTTCCAATGTCAAGTCCTCTTTCACACAGTTTTATAAGAAAAAAGATTTACTTTCCAGCATCCTAAAGTATCTTAATTATCTTGATCAAGAATTCATATATTGCCCTGCTCTGTGATTAGAGCATCAGCCCGAGGACCTAAGGATCTTGGGTTCAATTCCTGGTCAAGGGCACATACCTGGGTTGCAGATCCGATCCCCACCCCCAGTCGGGGCATGCTCGGGAGGCAACCAACTGATTGATGTGTGTCTCTCACACTGATGTTTCTCTCTCTCTCTCTACCCCTCCCTCCCACTCTCTCTTAAAATGGAAAAAAAATTCATATATCTCCCACCACAAAAATAATTTTCTAATGGACAAAAGGTTTAAATGAAAAAATGAAGCCATAAAAACACAAATGAAAACATAGGAAATTTTTTTTCCAATGTTAGAGTAGAAAAGACCTTTCCAAACATGACAATATAGTCAGGAACCACAAAGAACAAGATAATAGATTTAAATTAATAAAAATACAAAAACTTTTCATGTCAAAACAGCATAAATAAAGGAAAAATACATGACAAACTGTGAAAAGTATCTGTAACAAATGCAAAGATTGGAGGTAGGAGAGGGTAAATAAACAGTGATGGAAAGTGACTTAACTCGGGGTGGTGAACAGACAAGACAATATACAAATGATGTATTGTAGAATTGTACGCCTGAAACCTATATAATTTTATTAACCAGTGTCACCCCAATAAGTTCAATTAAAAATAAATAAATAAATGCAAAAATCTAATGATATTAATACGTTCAAAAAACTAATACCTAGTGGATACACAACCACATTGGTACTAAATTTAAAATAAAAAAAAAAACGGTGGATATCTTTTTATAGGCCTATTGGATTAAATATTTTTTAATGTAAATTAATAGGACTGTGATGACATAATATGAACTTTCTGAAAAGCATTTTGGCAAAATAAATCAGAATTTAAAACTGTATACAGTCTTGACCCTGTAATTCCACTTCTGGGGTTTTATTTTAATTACGTTAAAGGTATGTGCAAAGATTTAGTTATATGGATGATCATCCTATCTCTTTCATAACAGTGAAAAACTGGGGGAAAAATCCAAATCTCTAAAACAGTGAACTGAATGAGTATAAGGAATATCCATTAGGCAGAATACCTTCAGAGTCTTTAAAAACAATGATGTAGGCCTATAATTACAATCATGGAAAAAGCTCACAAAGCATTAACACAAAAAAACAGGTTTACAAAGTATCAATGTATGTAGTGTGATCTCATTTTGTAAAAACACACGTTATAAATAATGTACATATGTAACAAATATATGTACTTAAATATTTTTACAACGAAGTGTAGAAGCATATACCAAAATATTAAAAGAAGCTATTTCTGAGGGATTATAGGACTGGTTTTTAAAATTTTTTTGTTATTTTTTAATTTATCTACAAGGATCGTGTATTATTTACATGACCATTTATAAGTTAAAAAGAAATGTAATAAAAAATAACCAAACAGCACTATGCTTCATTATCCAAGAAATGAGTACTTTCAAACAAGATAACCCAGTTACCTAAAGGAGCAGAATCTATTTTTTTCCAAGGGTTGAGGTATGTCTTTTTTTCTTTCCAATCAGAATATTCCTGACAACTGTCACTGGGCTGGTCCCACGGCAATTCTAAAAAAAGAAACAAGTCCCAGTTTTCTGAGTGTTCATATCATTATGCAGTAAAGATTCCAAGGGAAAGTAATTAACAATACAAATCCATTTCCTCCAAGTTAATTCAATATGGCTTTCAAACCAAGAATACCAACTCACAAAAATTTTAGAGGCACTCAGAGATGGCTGAACCACTTCCTGCTCTACTCTTTCCAAAAGTATTCACATGAATCTTAAAAGTGAGAGCTACTGTGGTATTTCATTTAATAGCTACGCGTGCCTCATTTTTTAAAACCTTTGGGATTAAAAGTTCTAACTTAGTTACAAATAATTCATAACTATTAAAATACTGTCATATAAATATGGAAAACCTTGGTTTATTTCATTTATTTTGGTATAACAAATCTGTCTTGCCACAGGACAGGAGTTTTATCATGATTAAATAGCTCTTACCTCCAGCCAACATTGCTGTAAGTACTATTCCACAGGACCAAATGTCAACTGGTTCTGCATGAAATTCTTTTCTCTTTAGAAGTTCTGGAGCAACATAAGGTAAAGTACCACACATCTTGTTCAGTAAACGCTCACGATTATTATGCCGAAACACTGTTGCCAAGCCAAAGTCAGAGATTTTGAGGTTATCTAAACCAAAGGAAGGAGAGATGGCACTGGATAAAAATGTTTTGTAACTAGATATACTTAAAAAATTAAGTCTTATTGGAAAAATCACTAATGTTACTTAAGGTTTGTAGAACTTCTGTACTTTAAAATTAACAAAACAAAAAATTTTTAAAAAGAAGAAATAAAAGATATCATCTAGCTAAAATCAGTGAAAGGACTTGTCGTTTCTCCTAACTTATCAGAAATATCATCAATACACAAAACAGGTTAAAGAAAGGTACTAAAGTCAAAAGGGCCTGTCCTTCTGGAAAAGGGCACTCCAGGCTTAGGCTTAAAGTAGAGGTTGTGCAGCAGGCTGGAAGGAGACATCAATAATATATTAGGCACAGCTTTCCTGTTGGCTGGAAGAAAATATATATGTAAAGACACAGCAAAACTAAAGATCCACAAACCACCAGAACTTCTTGTCCAAGTGGCGAAGCAAATTTCCATTCTAACTTCCCATCTTCAACACACACAAACTGCAGGCAGAGCTTTCAGTTTAACTTATACTTGGTGAATGTCTACTGTAACAGAGCGACACTGTGCCAGCCACTGTAGTTAGGTACATTATTGGAGAAGACTACAGCAGACAACTGTTGTGAAGGTTATGAAAATACAGAACAGTACAAAATCGTATAGCAAAGGAATCTGATCTAGTCTTAGGAATTAGGCAAGATTCCCCATTTTCAACCTTTTTAGAGGGCAATCTGGCAAAAAATGTCAAAATCTGAAATACACTCTTTGAACTAGTAATTCCTACTTCTAGGTCTCTATCCACAGAATACTCCCACCAACTCACAAACATAAGGATATTCATAGCAGTATTATTTGTAAAAAACGTAAATGTCCATCAGTAAAAAATGATTAAGCCCTGCCAGGTGTGACTCAGTGGTTGAACATCGACCCAGGAACCAGGAGGTCATGGCTGGATTCCCGGTCAGGGCATATGCCCCAGTTGCAGGCTCGATCCTGAGTATGGGTGTGCAGGAGGCAGCTGATCAATGTTTCTCTCTCATCGATGTCTGTATCTTTCTATCCCTCTCCCTTCCTCTCTAAAAATCAATAAAAATGTATCTTTAAAAAATGATTAAATCTTACGTACACAATGAAACTACACAAGTAATTGTTTTTGAAAAGGCATATCTATAAGTGCTGACACAGAATTGGGTATAAGTGAAAAAAAGGCAAGTGTCATAACAAACGTTCGTTATAACATGACCCAATTTTTATATTGGGTCTGTGCACAAATTTATAGAACAGTCGTCACTGTTCTGTTTTTAAAGCTACAAAAACAACTGTCCCAAAACAGAGGATTAATTCTTTAAAAATTAATTACATTTGCACAATATACTATGTAAGCCATTGACGCTGTTTACCAGTATTTGACTTGGGAGGTATACTATAATTGCCTTTTAATAGCTATATGTGACACAATCTTAATAAACCACTGAGAATGAGTTTCCAGTTACTTATAAGTAGTAATCACGTAAGATACTAATGGATGACCACAGTATTCCTTGGATTTCATTGTTTTGTTATCCCCTGAAATTTCAGTAATGCAAAAGCCTTGAAACAGCCTTGTATGGCTGCATTAAAATAATTTAGCTAGCTGAGACAAAATACTAAACTTACCCCTTTCATCCAATAGAAGATTTTCTGGCTTAATGTCCCTGTGAGTTATTCCAATACCATGCAGATAAATCTAAGTGGAAAGCAAAGGGAAGCATACTAGAATTTAGTGACTTAATTCATTCACACTAATTTTAAGTAAAAGGAAGAGTCAGCTGTACCTACCACCCCTGCCATGAGTTGATGGAAGAACCTCTGAGCATCTTGTTCAGGCATGCCTATGTCCGGCTCTATAAGAATTAATTAAGAAAGTTAGTTTGCCAGGTAAATATAATCAGGAATCAACCACATAGTCTCCTAATTCTAAGGTTAAACATTTGTGATTGTACTTTTGCAAACAGAATCTTATGCTACAATGAAGAGACTCTGGAATCCACTAACACTTAATAACTCACATTTCCCCATCTGTTATGTGGTGAAAATAAATCAACATCACAGGAAAATTAGAGAGAAATAACAAACTATTATCCAAATCAAGAATGCAAACCATACCTTGAAAGCTTCTACTTATCTTGTATTAACCATGATATATTTGACTTAATTCTCCCCTAATTTCATCAAAGTGTTACGCCAATATTTTCCCCCTCCTGAAATGTAATTGCCAAAGTGGAAGCTTGGGCAAATCTAAGCTAATTTCACTAAATATTTAACAACAGATTTAAACTTCATATAACCTCTCACACTACAAGGTCACAAGTGCCTGTGAAGTTTCTTTAGTAATGGTTTTATTAAGAAATATTCTATTGTCAGTCATCTTTTTATATCTTGATCTCCCTTATTAACTCATGATTTCTTTTATACTCAACTCTCTTCCTGAGATAAATACTGGAGATTCTAATAATCAATTTTAACTATTAATACAATAGCTTTAAATGATAAATTTAGAGCCATAGAACATATTTTATGCACTTCTCAGTGTTCTGTAACATCAAGCCTTTGAGTCTACATAGAACATTTAAGTAGTAGCAACAGAATTTACTTTATATATATATATATAAAAGCAATCCTAGAAAACTCTAAATCATTTCACTTAAACAAGTGAAGAAGAAACATAACAACATGCTATTATTTTGGATCTGTAAATATATGCAATGATTTCACGTAACTAGAGTGTCTACAAAAAAAATTGTATAGGCAAACAATTCATTTCATTTATAATACTTCACCATGAGATTACAGTTTGTCATTCTTAAAATCTACAAAACAATACCAATCAAAACCACTTATATAACTTGAGAAAAAAGTTTTCTTTGATGACTTTATGCTTTCATGTGTTAATATTAGTTGCAAAAAACAAAACAATTTACTCCAATTTCCCTGTCGCATAAGCAATTCTAAATGGACAATGACCAAATACAGACTCAAGTTTTAAAAATTTAGAAACTTGTTTAGTAGAATAATTATCTTAAATCTTTTCCATACCTATTCGGTCAAAAAGTTCTCCCCCACTACAATACTCCAGAAACAGATATTGGATATTGCCTTCTCTCCTGTGACCATAGAATTTCACTACATTCTCATGATTTAACATTTTATTGATACAGATCTCTTTCTTAATATTTTCTGGACAGTCTACGGCACGCTTCATGTCTACAATCTTCACCGCAACTGCTTCTTCAGTTCTTCTATTCACAGCAAGCTGAACTCTAAAAAGGAAAAGGAAAAGTTGTAATATTCCAGACACTTGAGTTTTATTTATTTTAAAACTTCAAAAGATGAAACATGACTCATCCAGAACTATTTTGCCTTTATTAATTTCCCCACCAAGGAGAAACCATGGGAACGGTTTCTGCCATGTTCTCAACAGATACTACTCCTTTCTGACATGTGAGGTACAACAGATGATGCACAAAAAGCAGTCATGCTGTATAGCCAAAAGTCATTTAATAAACGCTTGAGCAAATAAACTGAAGTGGGTTAATAGCAATTCTAGGCCACATCACATATAACACATGCTCTATTCATTTAATTTTAGTAACATTACCTAATGTTGATTAATCCTGTGGTAACTGTTCTAAGCACCTATGGGATAGGTACCATTATTGCTATCCCATAGCTAAAAAAAACTAGAGGCACACAACAATATTAAGGAGCTTGCTGCCTTGGCCAGGTGGCTAGGCTGGCTGGAGTGTCATCCTGTACATCAAAAGGCTGCGGGTTCGATTCAGGTCAGGGCACATGCTGAGGATGCAGGTTTGGTACAGGAGGCAACCCACCGATTGCTGTTTCTCTTTCACATCAATGTTTCTTTCTCTCTCTCTCTCTTTCTCTCCCCACCTCCTCTTTCTCTCAAATCAATAAATATACATATCTCCTCGGGTGAGGACTGAAAAAAAAAAAGCAGCCCAACTGGCCCTGGCTCAGCGGCTGAGCATCGGCCTAGGACCCGGAGGATCGAGGTTCGATTCCAGGTCACGGCACATGCGGCTGAACCGCCAGCAGGGGGCGAGCTGGAGGCAGCTGATCTATGACTTTCATCACTGATGTCTCTCTCTCTCTCCTTTCCTCTCTCTGAAATCAATAAAGATATATTTAAAAAAGAAAAAAGCAGCAGCCACTTGCCTAAGAACAAAACAATGGCCAGTATGTGACAGGCTGATGATCTGACAGCAGGCAAGTCTGACTCCAGAGTCAGTCCGCTGCCTCCTTTACCCGCTCTGCCGAAACCCGAAGAAGGGCCGTGGGGCGGGAGAAGCTGACCTCAGCAACCCCTTCCGGCTCTCCACAAAGAAAATGCAAAGGAAAATAAAGCCCTTACAAAAAATGGTACAGCTTCGGTTCCCAAAGGCCTTGGGCTGCAAATGCAGCGATCTGTTTTCTAAGCCCCTGCTGTATTAAAATAACTCCAAAACAACAAATATGGACTCAAACAGGACAGCTGTGGCGGAACAAACAAACAAACGCAAGTGTGAAAGCAGGTTTCGACGGCCACTCACTCTCCATAGGCACCTTCCCCCAGGGTCTGCACCAAGTCCCAGTCTTCCACAAAGGGCACGGCCATGGCTCCACCGTGGACGCGGCTGCGAGGGGCAGGACCCAGAAAAGACGGGGGTGAGTACCAGCGCCCGCGCCCCGCGAGGCCCCGAGCTCTGCGTCTCGCCCCGAGTCCTCAATACCTGGGGAACAGCTCCCGCTCGCCCTGCCGCCGCCTCGCCCGTGCTTTCTCCCCGTCTACTCCACAGGCGGGTACCCCAATTCTGTGAGCCCCCGTCCCCGCGCACGATTGCTCCACCTCGGCCTGCCTCGCCCTCGGGGGGAACCTGACAGTTGCGAAGGGGAGCCGAGGAACGGGGCGGTGGACGCGGTAAAGGGCCGGCCCTGGGTCCGAGGGGAGGGGGACTGATAACCTCGACCACCNCGACCACCGCAGCCCCTCCTCCCGGCCCCGCCAGCTGCCTCGGGGCCGGGAGGAGCCCGGGGCGGGGCCAAACTGCCCGAGAGGCGGAAGGAGGGCCGGGTGGCACGCAGGCCAGCAGAGGGGAGGACTCGGGGTGCCTGTCCCGCACGCGCCCCGGCGCCACCCTCCCGCGCCCTCTGGAGCCGCCCTCCGCCGCAGTCTCTCCGAGCCCCTCGCCCGTGGCCGTGCCCCTCCCAGCTAGTGCGGACCCGCCCTCCTCTGCAGACTCCCTCCCCAGCCTACCCGCCGCCCTCCTCACCAGGCCGTCCTCTGCCCGCCACCGCAGGAAT